AATTTTTTTTGTTAAAGCCCGAGAGATGGTTTCATAGACAAAATTTCTTGCTATAGCCGATTTTTGAAAAAAAATCGCAATTGCTTCGATTTCACGTTACACCTGATCCTGCACTCTAATTGGTTGATCAGGGGTGGCGATACGTCGCCATGGCGATAAATATAAAATCCTATTTAAATAAATTAAAAATCTAAATTACAGTATACTGTATACTGTATAAAATAAATACATATTATATTTATTAAATAGGTTTGATTGTACAGTAGAATAAGATTAATTCAATGAAATTTATTCTACTTGTAATTATTTTTATTACTACGTACAAAAAATCTTATAATCGATTTCCAACTATATATATACAATCATATCTATACAAAAATTAAAATCTCGGTATTATTGATGTATATACAACATATTAGCATGATCGTATTTAGTTAAAACGAACAAAATTAACAGTTTGGATTTCAGATAGGGTTTCAGAGTTTCGGATGAGGTTTCAGGGTTTCAGATGAGGTTTCGGGGTTTCAGATAAGCTATAATTCAAAACCTGAAACTTTCGGATTTGGCAAAAAGAGTTTCGTTCTAAAGTCTCGGGTTCAAATAATACACCGTGATCTTGATATAGTAATTGAGATATTACGTCTCTGATACTATAATCTGTATAGGATATTATAAGGGTATTTTTTAATCAATGTGGTACGGTAATTGGTAAAAACTTGTAGATCATGGGATTTAAATTATGATTATATATATTCCCGGGTGGGTGAAAAGACCCTATACAGGACCTTTTCTTTTAATCACTGATATACTGTTGTACTGTATTTTTTGGTTCATTTTAACGGTTATACAGTACCCGTTTGTACACTACGTGCATAGATATTAAATAATAAATCAATTATTAGCGAAGATAGTAAAAAGGTCCCGTATAGGGACTTTCGCCCACCCGGATATATATGCTGAATTTGGGATCTTCACTTGAAAGTATAAACTTTATATATATATACATATATATATATATATATATATATATATATATATATATATATATATATATATATATATATACTTGTTATAAACTTTAACCTAATCCTAGTTCAAAGAAATTTTCATACTGTATTAAAATATATAGGTCAAAGTTTCAGCATCAGCTGCAATCTATTATTAGCAGTTAGTGACTCGAATAATTCGATTCAATTATGATTCAAAGCAACGTAATTGTTAATGTTAAGTATATTAAATATGCTTACTCGTTTTAAATTGTTATAAATTGTAATTTGTATTCAAGTAAATTCGAATAAATTGATTCAATCAGATGTTCTGAGATGAATCAATCTTTAATCACTCTTAATCGTATACGACGTTTATTTTACGTACTATTGTTATGTAAATCGATACTTCAAATGTCAAATGTAAATGCCTGCTTTATACGTACGTACGATAATATTATTATTATATGATTAAATCATTTGCCGTAAACGTGTTTTGTTGACCGACCTTACATATGACTCAAATCAGGGACCCGATTTTTGTGCAACTTTATGGTGATATTTTATAATTTCTGCGAAAAAAAATTTGTCTAATCTATATAACTCCGTAATTTACGTTGATTTATTGTCTGCTTTCCGGGATTTCCCGGCCCTGGTTTGAATTTCTGATATTTTGTGGTAACTAAGAATTTTAGAACTCCGCGGTGACTATGAGTAAATTCTGTGAATCACAAAGATCAAAATCACTTGATTAATGGCTAACTGAAATAAAACATGGACAATCAAAATCGGTATCAGGTACGTACGTACGTACAATATCTGGTATCAGGTATGGACTGAATTAGTTAGTTACCCATCCAAACTTAAAGCATATGTATTATGCGATTACACGACTTTTTGCGTGATTTAGCCAATTTCTTTAATAGCTTGACAATTAAAATCTTTTAAAGGCAAAATTCCATCAATAACCTTGTTAATTGAAAATCACGGTATCTTTTATCTTAAATTTGAAAGATTCAAAAATCCGATTTTGAAATATGGTCCAATTTTTATTTCACATTACATTAACATATAAATCCAAATTCTATAATGTTAAAATAATCAGACGTAAAGGCTTCGAATTGGCTTCGGATTTAAACCGAAATTTCGGATCCGGATCGGTTTGGTTCAATCCCGGATCAACCCGGGTTCAATCCGAATCGAATATATGGGGTCTTGCAGTAGAAATGGTAGAAACTACCCCGAAATTAAAAATGAGTTTATTGGATTCAGGCAAATTTTGAAAGAGAAACGATTTTCATAGTAAAAAAAAAAGCCACTTAATTTTTAATGCAGTAATGCTGCAAATTATCGATCTTTCATGCACGTGATCAAATTTCGAACTTCGCACTTTCCTCTTTCTGCAAAGACCCATATAAATGTGATCTGGGTGCCAGCCTTTAAATTGTGCAGAATTTGCACGTTTTTAATATGATAATCAATAACGGTGATAATTCTGATCAGTGGCAGTACCTCAGAACTATAGTAACTTTAGTAAGTCTAGGTCAGTCCGATTAAAATAAAAAATAAATTATTGATAAAACACCACTAATGACGTAAATATGTGTAATGTCAATGAACATTTATCTTTAAACCTTTAAAACAGGTTATTTTCCCCATGCTGCTATATAACAATAGTATATACTAACTAAAAAGGGTAGAAAGATGTTATCATTTTTGCAATTAAAAATTACGTACGTACGTAAATGATAAATCCCGAGGGCATCTCGTAAATAACGGAAAATAAAGTTATAAATCTCATCCATATGTGAATAAGTGTGACCCTGATTATTTGCATATCGATATTGACCAAGACGCACGTACGTATATGTTTATATATACAGTATTTTTTAGTGTAGGTTTTCTTCACGCACGAACCGAAATGCAGTAGTCAATTTTGTATTTAACTAGGTGATTATTCGGCAAATTCTTATTTTTGTATTCCCTAAACAAAACTGAATTATGCAAATTTCTATTGTAAAAAATTTTGGCATAAATATTATTATCCCATAGGTTCAATAAAGAATCATAAGATTACAAAGAACGCGTCATAACTAAATTGAGATACATTCTGTACATACGTCCCTAAAAAATAATGATAGATAAGCGAATTCAGTATCGCAAAAATCCTTATCGGTCAGCCCGTAAGTACAACAATTGTACTTGCAGTTGTTCATTGTTCGTTTTTTTTGCGCTGATTTGATAGATTACAAGGAAAATCTGCTATCTCATTTTTATATAAATATTCCGCATCTGCATCTCTAATAAATAAAAAAACTTTTCATAGTAAATAATTGTTTATTCATCGTCGAATACTATGGAAGTAACTTTAGAGTCATTAACGATAGAAGAGCCTGATCATCCAGCATCGGAAGAACAACCATTATTATCGGATGAAGACCGTACTACTTGTGATACAGGAAGCACTTTTGAAACTGAAACTTATGACTCGTATGGAGAAGAGGAAGCAGTAGTTTCAGGTTCAAGTTGGGCTGCATATGTCAATGTAATGTGAGTATTGCGAAAAATGTGGTTTTTTAGTTATTATTGCATATATCGATATTATTTATCGATACTATTTTTGATTCATAGTTGCGTGGTGGCAGGAACTGGAATTCTAGGTTTACCATATGCAATCAAACAAGGTGGTTGGATAGCTTTGAGCCTGATCGTTTTGTCAATGTTAATAACATTTCACACCAGTGTCATTTTAATAAAATGTCTATATTATAAAGAGTATGTGTCTTTGCTTTGTTTCTTTACGTCTTCCACAAATTGTGTCTCATTTTTTTTTAAAAAAAAATTTAGAAATAAACGTCTGAGTTCTTATGGTGACATAGGATATGCCGCATTTGGAAATTTTGGAAGATATTTTTTGGTTGGAGTTTTTAATAACTCACTTCTGCTTGGTGTCCCTATATTATTCTTTATCCTGGCCGGACAAAGTCTTGATAATATTGTAGAACAAATTTGGGATATCAAATTAGGTGTTCGTTTATGGACCATAATATCTGCTGCTATTGTAGCTTTACCGTTTGTATTCACGAAAACTTTGAAAGAAACGGTGATTTTAAGGTTTGTTTTAAATAAATAAATAATATAATAATAATAATAATAATAATAATAATAATAATAATATTATTATTATTATTATTATTACTATTACTTTAAAAAAATTTTTTACGTATTCATTAATTTATTATTAACATACAATAATATATCTATGTATTATCAGCGTTTTTGGTGCTGTCACCACTTTTTTTACTGTTATCGCTATCGTGGTACTTTCGTTTGCGGATCTTTCAAATGTTGTTAACTCCCCTGATCCGCCCTCGTATAGTATAGTTGTATTTACGGGACTCCCCATTGCACTCGCTTCAATCTCATTTTCATTTGGAGGAAATAGCGTTTTTCCTCATATAGAAGAGAATATGAAAAGTGTGTTTAACATTTTTTTTTTATCTGTTTAATTCTATTTACCAATTATGATTCTTAATTCTGAACTTTTTTCAAAAGATAAAAAAAGTTGGAATATAGTCGTCGGATTGGCTATGGCAACATGTGCAGCTATGTATGCAATAGTCGCTTTTGCTGGATATTATGTGTATGGTGATGATACAATGAGCCCTATTTTTCTTAATTTACCTAAAGGTAAAGGTTTTATTAGTAAAATCATTCGAAAATTGTCTTGAAAGATGTCTCAATTATCTCGAAACAATTAATATTAACAGAATTTTAATCTTGTAGGTCTAGTGTTGACAATAGCGACTTTATTTATGACAATACACGTACTTACAACTGCTCCGATTTATATGACATCTTTTGCCTTTGATATTGAAAAATATTTAAAAATCACACATGAATTTTATTCTCCTTTGGCCGAACTTGCTCTTCGCGCTTTGTTCCGAACTAGTCTTATTGTTACATGTACAGGAATCGCCGTATCGGTCCCATTTTTTGGGTTCATATTTTTTACCATTTAACATGACACGTTTTTAATATATCTTTTTTTACAAAGCTCTAATAATTTTTATTTATTTTTTTTAGGGACTTTATGTCATTTTTGGGGGCAATCTCGACGTGTGCCATCGTTTTCATTCTCCCTGTAGTATTTTATTTGAAACTATTTGGATGGAAAAGTATGTCTATTTGGGCATTATTATGGAATATATTTGTGATAGTAGTAGGAGTTATTGGTTGTATAGTTGGATCTACTGATGCGATATTAGCTTTGATGAGAGATTTTCGCGAGATGGATTCCAGCAAATAAATTTTTCACATTCTTTAGGGGCAGTTCTCTTTTAATTCCTATTTTATATTAAAGAAAAATTTTAGAATTCTTATGGTATACTGTAGTATTTTGTCAGGCTTGTGAATAATATACTGTATTATGTTGTACTTATATATTTTTTTGTATTATATGAGTGACGTCAAGAGAAAATCCAGAAATTTCAAATGTCGAGTTTTCTCTTGGCATCACTCATATGTGTAAAAAGTATTTTATAAATATTTGAGATTTAAATATATAAATATTCTGGAAAAAGGTTTCATTCTCGCAAATAATTAGTTTCTTTACAATGAAAACGTGTATTTTGCAATGATAATGCTATGCACTTGTAGAAAAAAATTTAGGGCAATCAGATATATAAGGCCATACAAATTTATATAATTGGTTTTCATATTCCAGCCGGGTCAGTAGGGTGGGAATCTGAAAAATTTTTTAATATAATCAGCCAATAAATAGAAATCCTCCACAGGTGATTATACTGACTAAATTAATCTAAATTACTCTTGATATTTGCAAT